AATGTACTGCACATTGTCTTGTTCATATACCACTATTTTAAAATGTAGTATACTATTGCTCTTTGCTCTTGTAATTTTTCATGCAATAATAAATTGCTTCATCGCATACCAAGTTTAATATACTATTTTCTGTACAACTGAAATTATCTAAAAACTTATCGACAGCCTTGTAAATGTGCTTATTTTTGTTTAGTATTTTGCCTAGTTCAAGAATTATAATATTTGGAGGAGCTACAAAAATTGCTGAGTTGATTTTCTTTCTAATATCTATACCAATATTTTTAATGCCAAACTCTGACCCTTTACAAATTATTTGATTAAAAATCATATCTACTTTTGTTTGCCATTCTTCCATAAAAGAACTTATACCAAAAAGATAGTAATCTTCTATTAATTCTGTATTTAAGAAGTCAAATTCTAAATATTGAAATTGAAAAACTATCTATACTATTATATAAGCAATAGAATGAACTGTGACAAAAATATTGCTATATTGAAAAGTTTTGTCTTTTGTATCAATATTATCTATTTAAAATATTTAAATCTATATTGAGCTTTAATTAAGGTTCTATAGCTAACATTCTTTTTTTTTGAGTACGTGCTTCATGATTTCTAGCATACAGTACTACCTAAACTGTGTGAAGAATTTTGCACAAAAGCTCTAACATTTTTGGTCATCAGCAAAGAGAAGAGAGAATATGCATAAACCATATTTTCTAATAAGAAAAAGCAATAGTAAGTGTCACAGATGCGAAAAAAAAGGAAGATTAGATTGATTTTTTTTATATCTAACTGTGGAAAAAGCATTTTTTTCTCTTTTCTTTTTCTAGCTAATCCCATCAATTTTTTTTTTATAGTAGTAACTAAGCCTGTGAAAAAGTTGATAAGAGATACTGGTATAGCTTTATAATATTTTTTTACTGATTCAGGTTTTTCAAGTAATAATAGCCTTTTTTTAAGCTCAGACTGTTCTTGTAATATAGAATTAGCAAGCATCTTTCCAAGAGATTTACGTGTAGTGGTTTTCAATAGTTTGTGTTCTTTAATTTTAATTTTTTTTAATAGCAAATACTGTTTTTATTAAAAAATAACTTGGAATTAAGGGTATTGTAGAAGATACACTAGTGATACTTTGTGTTTTAGATATATCAATAGTGATACTATTAAAAAAGATTAATAATTTTTTTAATAGATCAATTTTTGTAGATATATCTTCTGATTTGGCAGTTTGTTCAATTCACCTAGTAAAAAACTTTAAAAAAGACGCAGCTTCAGATTTATATTGTCCTTATTCTACATATAAAACATTTTTGGCCAAGTTTGTAGATGATCTCCATATGATACAAAGCAGTTTGCACAAATGAATCGAGGTTTATTAATATCAAGCAACTTTTTTGATAAACTATTATACTCAGTAATTGCTAAGCAGTTGAATATGCCATAACATGAAGCCTGAATTATGTATCCACATATTTTCTATCTATGTACTGGTATGCTTTACCTCTTATAAAGAAATACTTGTATTTATTGCAAAAGAGACAATGATATAAGTTTATATTGCTTTTGGTAAATAGGTATTCCTTCTTTATACTACCTCTATATTCAACCTTATAGTCATAATTGAAATAATTTAAACAGATTTTTAATTTGAAATATTATTTCCAATTTCTTGTATAGCCAGAGAATCAATTTTCCATGTACCAAATAATTGATTTACATAGATATCGACTATTCTGCTACACTTTTGAATTGTGCTTAGTTTATCATTATTGTTGATAATAAGATAATATATTATTTTAGTAGAGTTACTAGAATTAGAAGATACTGGTATTTCAATTTCTTCTAAAATCATTTCTGCTTTATTATAATCTTCAGAGAATTTGTCATTACCCTCACTTGATTCATCTTCAGATTTTTCAATTGATTTAGTTATTTTTTTTTGCAAAATTTTTAACAAATACAAGTCAAAAATGAAAGATTCTTCATCTGAAACTACTTATTCAACATCGATATCAGATTCTTGATTAAAGTCATCTTCAAGATTTAATAAATCTTTAAATAAGTATTTTATGTTTTAATTTTTGCTGTATTTTTTTTAAAAAAAAAGGTTGTAATTATTAATGAAGCTTGAGGGTTTAAAATGTCTTTTATAAGCAATTTGATCACAAAACTAATATACAACGATTAGACTATATTTTAGAAGTAGATCAAGGCCGAGATTATTGAGATTATCATGAGATTGTCAATATAAGAGAAGTGATATTTATTAGCTGAATATACACCAGAATATATTAATTAACTATTCTGAGGTTTCAAAATTAGTTATTTAAAAATTTTAAATTTTAATATAATCTAAAATATAAATTTATAAATATTGTATTGTTATATACCTCTTGTATATTTGTATACATCTCTTGTATATTTTATACTCCCTCGCATATTTATGCATATTTATATATAATTATACATAAATATATATAATTATGCAAGAGGTGCATAAATATGCAAAAGGTGCATACAAATATACAAGGGTATATAAAAATACAATATTTATAAATTTATATTTTAGATTATATTAAAATTTAAAATTTTTAAATAACTAACTTTGGAACCCCAGAATAGTTAATTAATATATTCTGGGATGAGAGTATATTCAGCTAATAAATGTTACTTCTCTAACTGAGATTATAATAAAATATATTTTATAGAAATAACAAGAACAAATACTTATAATACAGTAATGGCAATAATTATTTTTTCTAGAAAATTCACTTTATTCAACTTTTAATAATTATGTAATTGTATAAATTCAAAAATATTTAATAAAAATTTTTAAATTTTATTTAAAAAAAATTTATTTCAATAATAATAATTATCTTTAATTACAAAGTATATAAATTTTAAATAAAACATATATTTGCATCCGTGACTAAAAATATAACTTGCGATCCATCTTGATCACACTATAATATGCTTTTTCTAACATAATCGGCTTTCTATATCAAGCTCCAAATATAAAATTTGTTATTAATTATAGAAATGGAGAAAAGAGAATAGAAAAGAATAAAACAACCACCTTTATTTTCTTGATCATTATAAAAGGCGACTTTAATAATAAGTTAGTCCAGCAAAAAAAACCAAAGAAACTTTTACATTCCACGATTGTTAAAGCCGTTATCATATTATATAATATGAAACAACGAACGTCTTTTAGAGGCCACATTCTTCTCGGATTTATTTTGTATTATATTTTAAACTTGCAAATAATAAAGAAATCAACTTTCTGAACTGTCAAAATGCATGTCATAAGTGCAGTTTCCTTTTTAGAAACCCTTGAAATAAATGATTTAAAGTAGGTGACCGTTGCAATTTACTATGAAAATTGAGCACATCATATGCATGCCGATTACTCAAATTTCATAGTAAAAAATTTACCCCGTGATCTGCGTGAAAAATCGTGTGACTGTTAATTAATGCAGTGGCTCATGATTATTGATCTGCATTATATAAAAATTTTGCCAGCATTATTAGACTTTGTGTACTAGCTTTATAAAAGTTGTGAACAACGTTATTCATATAACCAAATTACATATCAGAAATTTACACGCAAATTTCCACCATATATATCCTAAATCCCTATATATAAAAGACATATGCATTATATATGATACTTTTCTATGATAACTTTAACATTATAAATGTCAGCACGTTCAATATTACTAAATTTTGTTTAATACTTGCCCAACATGTCTAGTGCTGTAGTGTGTTTAGTCTGTGCGAAAACATATATATTTCAAATTACAATATAATCTATATGTATATAATGTAACATAAATTGTAATTTATTGTTATGTATCGAAATCACTTAACCGGATCGGCCGAAAAATCATTCTGCGATTTTTATCAGCTGCTTCAGAATTTATGAAAACAGCTGTAATAACAGATTCAATAAAAATTGGTATGTACGTGTGTACGTACGTACGTACGTACCAATTTTTTTATTCAATCTATTTTGCCAAAATAATAATTTAACCGGTTCGGCCGAAAAATCATTCGGCTAATTTTTTACAGGTGTCCCAGGAATTATGAAAACATCTGTAATGTGAAATTTTTATTTTCATTATAGAAATTATCAGACAGCTAAATCTTCTAAGAGAACAATGAATACTCTCTACATTACAACCATATTTTTTATTATAAATATATTGAAATAGAAAACAACAAATATAAAATAAATTATATCGTAAAAATAATAAAAATTTTGAACGTTAGCATTAATGATGCCTGACGAATGACGAAACCTTTCGTCATGACGAATGACGAAACTATTTCGTCAGGCAACTTCGAAATGACGAATGACGAATGACGTAACTTGTGACGAATGACGAAACTCATGATGAATGACGAAACTCATGACGAAACCTAAATTTTATATGAAAAGTATAAGAAAAATTTTAAAACAGGATTTATTCTTTAGGAGTTATTGAAAACTAGTTAATAGAAATAAATTAGTTCATGTAAATTTAATTTTTTTTGTTCACTATTATCTGCCCGTGTTTGTTATGTTTTTTGACATATTTATCTGACGTTACCCGATGATTTGCATTACTCACCCAGATATATCCGATGGGTCTAATGATGCCTAACGAAACTATTTTTGTGATGACAATTGGTTTCGTCATGGTTTCGTCATGACGAAACCTTGGCGATTGATGAAACCCCTGACGATTGACGAAACCCCTGACGATTGATGAAACTCCTGATGATTGACAAAACCCCTGATGATTGACGAAACCCCTGACGAAACAACTGAAGAAACACCTGACAATTAACAAACCTCTGAAAATAATAAAACTATTGGCAATTAGTAAATTATTTACTAAAATACTATAATAAAACAGAAAAATCACTTTTTTGTTTTTTTTTTGCTAAATGCGTCTTTTATTGTATTCTATAATTGAAGTGAAAATCACTTTACAAAAAGATAATATATAACTTTATCATCTTTTTAAATTCTTACGACAAGTTTTTCGAATTGCTATAGGTAAAGACTCTAAATTCTCATTATCATTCTCTACAATACTTGAATTCTCACTATTATCTTTTTCAGATTCAATATCTAAATCACTAATATCTAAATCACTATCAACACACTTATCTATTCTATTTAAATT